CATCATGATTTTTAAAAATTCATCCTAATCTTTTTTGCAGGAAATAGTGTTGCTCTCTGGAGGGAGAATTAATACTTTTTATCTGTTTCATTTACATAAACTTTCTGGTGCAAAATTAGAAAAATATTTATATTAAAATTTTTTATCTTATCTTTTTCGCATACAAGAGTAAATCACTTGATTCTTAAGCTATTTTGTCTTACAGGCTGTTAAAACATACTAGAAAGGAAAACCATTCTATTACGCAAAACAAATTTCTTATGTATTTTATGTTTATTTACTATGCAATTGATTTAAAAATAAAAATTATATAGGTAGTTAAGATCTCAGGCCTATCATATTTTTAGATGTGGGACATAGGCAAGGTTTTTTATGTGTAAAAATAATAGTGGCTATCTCAGAAGGTTAATAGTAGGGTTGAATAAAATTTTATATATGTTATACATATATATATAATATGTATAATGATATTTTATATGTATAAATTTTATACATATACGAAGTGCTAAACCTTCAATAAATGTTAACTATTATTGCTGTATGTAAAAATGAACTTAGATTGATAATGGAGATGTAGTATATTGAAGCCCAAATTTATGTGTTCCGGGTTGCTTAACTTCTCGAAATCCCATTTTTTTCACATGTAAATTTGCTTATAATAACTTTTAAGGTTATTCTGAAATTTAAATGAAATACATGATCTCATTTAGTAAGGGAGAGTTGTGTTACATTTTTTACTTTTTCCCCTATTAGATTTAGAACTCCTAGAGGATAGCTGTTCAGCTTCTTTAGTTGTTTGTGTCTGTTTATTCATTTAGTAATAAATGTTTAGGTAAATTAATTGATAAAGAGGTACAACTGTATACGAGGTAAACTTCAAAACAAGCAAATATTATAAGTTATAATTCAGATAACAAAGGGACATGTGAAGTACCATGTGTGAAAAGATGGGGAGAGGTACCTAATTCAGCATTTAACATACATGGGTTTTAAAAAATATTTAATCCTTAAATTCAGTCTTTAAAAATTGATTTTAAAAAGAAAGGCATTATAAAGAAGTCTTTCTGTAATTCTGGTAATAACACAATATATGGTCATTTATTTATGTTTTTGACTTCCTCAACCATTTGTAATGATATTTTTTCTTATGTTTGCTATAAAACAAAGGTCTATCCAAATGTAACAATAGGTGTTTTTATTGAACAACCAACCCCTTTCCTATCTCGATTTCTGGATGTATTGTTGACACTGGATTACCCTAAAGAAGCACTTAAAGTCTTTATTCATAACAAAGTAAGTATTTGAGAAATAAATATTTTATATGAAAAGTATTTTATTTTTTTTATTTTCTTTGGAAAATTTTTTTTGTTTATTTTTGTCAAAAAAAATCCATTGGGCTAAATTAAGTAGGGGATTTTCGGAATAGTTACTGGCCTGCATTTTTAGGACCTGATGATTTTAGAGTCTAAAACTGGTATAATATTGGGATGAGCCCCATGAAACTGCCAGTTTTGTAGATCAAAAATGGTTGAGTATCAGCTATTTCCTATGGCTCAATTTAATATATAATGAAAAAATGTCAAAGGACCATATATTCCTTTGCCTTTGGGTTAGTTCTGGTACTTATGGTAATGCCATAACATGAGAACTTGAAATAACTTCCAGATAGAGTATTCTTTTGATTAATTACACAATGGCATGCTCCTCCCCAAGCAGTTTGATCTTATCATTTCCTTCAGAAATATTCAGAGCCTCCCAAACACCTCCCACATATAATCTAAACATAAAGATTTTTTTTTCAGTATTTTTCCATTTAATTGTGTCTTTCCTGTTAAAACAGTTGGTATTTAAGATCATCTAGAAAAACTCAATAGCTATGAAGTATATTATATTCTCTTTTCTGTCTTAATACTTTTTATTTACCACTGTTATTTATTCCTAACGTACATCAGCTTATCATTTGCCTTTTCCAGAAAATATTTTAAATTTACAGAAAATCAGCTAAAATAAGTTTAATAGGTTGGATTATTGAGCATTTATAAAGTGTTTTGTTTTTATGTATTCTTTTATTTATACCTTTCCTCCTTTTTTAGGACCTAAAACTCTTTGATGGCCAGAGTTTTTCTTTTACTTAAAATTAACTCTATGTAGCTTTTTTTGTGATTAGTTTTAACAGGCTATACAAAGCTTTCAAAAATAAGGAGACGATACATTAAAAGCTCTGAAATGCTCTAATGATGGAGACGGATAATCTTATCAAAATTTTAGCACAGTCTAATCATGCTAATTCGATGACTTTTATGTCCCATCAATAAAATTTTGTTAAACACTTTTTTGTAAAAAAAGTATGTGACAAATTTTTTTTCTGTCTGGCTTCACGGAATATAGTAATATTTATTTTATAGAGTGATTATTTATAACTTAGTTTAATATCTATTAGGTTTAATAGACATTTTTCATGGATATTTTATAACACACGTTTAAGATACTTAGGCCATGAGCTATTTATGTGCCGCCTGATACATTTTATAGCACCCAGGATTTTAAATAGTTATGCAAGGACCTGTCTAAGAGTGGATGTTAAAAGAATTTTGAAGTATCTTCTCTTTAGAAAATATTGATATGTATCTATTTTAGATTTTCACATGACATTTAGGTGATACTTAAATATCACCTATTTTGGTTATCATTTTGTCTGTAATTGAGTGACTATGTGAACTATGGACTTCACAACTTTGAATATGAATCTATCCTTAGATATGAATATTTCAGTCATTTTAATGTCTTATTTTCTCACTAATTTTTTATTTTTAAATATGTTACAGGAAGTTTATCATGAAAAGGACATCAAGGTATTTTTTGATAAAGCTAAACATGAAATCAGTACTATAAAAGTAGTAGGACCAGAAGAAAATCTAAGTCAAGCTGAAGCCAGAAACATGGGAATGTACGTTTTAATAAATTTAAACTATTTTTACTAAAGAAACTTTAAGAAAAAACAACTTTTCTTAAAAATTAGTACCTAAACTTGGATGTCGCCACTATGTGTCCATGTACGTTTGTGCATGTGTGCAAACATCTTAGACTCTATCTATGTTTGTATGTACTTATGTGTAAAGGGTCATGGAAGTTATTTACATTTTTCCTTTAATGGCTAAGAGTCTGCATGTTTATTCAAACTATTAATTGAACTTCAGATCAAGATTTAAAAAACACTCAAACAAATGAATAGTATGAATTATATAAGCAGTGATTTAAATGTTTGCAATTTGAAGGTTGTATGTGGTAAAAATGTGTATTTTAGACTGATGGAGAAAATGGGTATTCCTACTTTCTAGTTAGCTACCGATCTAGAAAATTCTGTAACAGGAAAAATAATTTTGGTCCTTTATTTAGCCCCTTTAATACTTCAGACGGATTACTAATAAAATTCTGATAGTAATATAGCAATCTTTTATTCAGTAAATGTTAATTGAATATGCCAGGCAGTGATTTAAGAGCTGCTGATTAAAAGGTAAATAAGTCTTGGTGACTTCTCATTGGAAGATGTTCTTGTGCTGTGAAAGCTTAGAGCCCCGTGTGTTGGATACCCTGGTGTCAGGGTTAAAGGAATAGGAGGGAAAACAGGCCACAGAAAAACCAAACAAATGTTTTCACTTATGCTTCCATAAATTATTTATTGGAGAATCCTTGGGTACTTATTCAAACTTATTTTTTTGTTAAATTATTTGTATGGTTTTTACAAACTTTCCTGCCTGTTGTCCCATTCGTCAGTTGCTTAGAAACAAACATGGTATGGATATACACGCTGACAGTGGTTGAGAGTAATAACTGGGAGCCCAGAAAGAGAGAACCTCAAATGTAGAAACCATAATACTTGGAACCATTTCAGATATCACAAGTAGTTCATTCCTTGGTGTGCCTGATAATAGCACTACAGACATTACCAGGAAAAGATAACAACATAGCCAGTGTCCCTGATGAGATGCAGGGGAATAACTATCTTAGAATCCCATGCAAATCAAGTTCAAAAAGTATTATTATCTCGAGTCATTCACTTGTATCTCCAAGATTCACTTAAAACAGAGTTATTGGATATACAAGATTTTGCAGTGCATGTGTGTACACAGAAACATTTTGATTTGTGAAAAAATAGTTGTTAATAAATTCATTGGGGTAAATTATTTTCCCCTTTTAGAAAAGATTTAATGCTAAATTATAAATTGCCATTCTAACTTGATGTTTTATGCCTTAAAATATTTAGTGGCTGAAAATATATTTCACCTGGCCTAAAATTTTTAGTGTTGATTTACCTGTGAACATCTGTGTTGCTAAATTGACCATTTTGAAATTTAAGAGAATATCGATCCTTTTTGATATTTCTTACTATTTGATTAGAAAACTATATTAGAGTAACCCTTTTTTATGTATAAGCTTATGTTAACATTTTTCAATAGAAAATATTTATTTTATCTAATTCTTATTTTGTTTCTTTTTTGATGTCAGGGATTTTTGCCGTCAAGATAAGAACTGTGATTACTACTTTAGTGTAGATGCAGATGTGGTTCTGACAAACCCAAGGACTTTAAAAATTTTGATTGAACAAAACAGGTACTGTATAAAGTTTAATGTCAATTCATTTTTTTTAATGGTTATCATTTTCTTCATCTATGTGGACACACTAAAATGACTTATCAGTGGAATAAATAGGAGCAAATTGAGGGAATTAACATTATTTACTACACCTTTTAAACTTTCAATTCTAATTAATTAGTTTTGTTTTAAATGAAGCAAATAGAAAACAATGTGATGAATATTAGAAGTATTTAGTATTAGTGACAATCAGAAATATGATGTTTGTCAATTTTAGTAGGCCTATTTTTATAGTTAAAGCTAGATGAAATTATGATATAGCTGATACTAGTAAAATTTGGAATTGTTTGATTCTCTCTAGATATTTTTAAAGTAGAATTTTATAAAAGTTTTGACCTAAAAAGTTACTGCAAACAGAGTTGTAGTTCTTAGAATTTGAAAGAAACTTCAAAGACACAAATTATTTCACAGCCAGATCTGTACTGGACTAATTATCACTGTACTTGCTTTCATTTAACTGAATTGAAATGGAAAAAAAGACACCATCTATACCAGCTTATAATGATATTAAATCTTCACTTATTAATACTACTGCTACTACTAATAGTAATTATTATTAATGCTTCTACTAATAGCCTACCTTTAATGAATGCTTGAGTGCCAGGTATTGTTTTAAGTATGTTTACATGTATTAACTCAGTTATTTCTCATGACAGAATGGTTAGCAGTGAAATGTTAGAATTACTTTTTATTTTGCTGAATAAAATGTATGAAAAATCTATTATGCTCTGCTAACCCACTCTATGTATAATATGATTTGTCAATTTGACAATTCAGTTATTACTTCAAAATCTAAGACATCTCAGTATTTATCTATATACAGTCCCACTATACAACTATCAATAGATACATATGCATCTAAGATAACTATAAATTGCAGATAATTTTTCAAAACATATGAATAAGGGTTAATCATTAGGCAAGGAAAAGCATATGAGATAGAATTCTAATTTATAATTCTTAAAACCTACTGGAATTCAGTAATGTTTTCTTAAATTTGCAGTGTTAATTGCCTCTTAATTTGATTTAAATTCAATATTATATAATGTATATATGCTTCTAATAATATTTAGATGTTTTTATTATATATACTTTGATAGACACTTATTAATTATTCTAATAGTAAATTATTTAATGAATTTATACTAAATATTTAACATATATCCCTCTTAATATCAATCTAATGTTTCAAATCTTGTAAAATATAAAAATTTCTCTCAAGTAATTCAAATGCCATCTGGGGCCCTTGCCCCTTGAAGAGCCAATAAAACTTAGGTTATTTCTCCAATTCCATACATTTCTGTTAATTGTCAAAAGATTAGATTAATATAATATGCTTCTGTATCCAAGCATGTAGTTTTCATAAAGAATTTACATATACCAAGACTGTTGCAAGATTTAGTGGACTTGACTGAAGGTTTAGAGGGGCAAGGGGTGGCCCACAACTTAGGGCATATAGCTTTCTAGCACCTATCTCATCAGCTCCTTTTTCTCTCTCCTTTTCCTGTCTCTGTTATTTATTGCCTTGCTCCAAATTTTACTCCTTCAGTTATTTAGTGCAATTTATTGTCTCTCAGCTGCTGCTCTTGTATTTCCATACTTAAAAACAGTGAGGCGCACACAAAAGAAAAATTTTGATCTTCAACATTTCTTTGCCCATCCCTCTTCGGCAGGCAGCTGAGATTATAAATTACAAGATTTTTTTTCTGTTAAATATTTGATCTTGTCAGTTATTGACATTGAATTATCATTTCTTAAATTAACATAATATGTAGATTCTCTGTTATATCTATTGTATCTATATCTAGATCTATCTATATCTATATATCTATATATCTATTTTAAACAAAACAAAATATGAGTGTTTCTGGTCAACATTTCATTTTAATAGGAACCAGGAAAAATAAACCAAAATCATTATTTTGCATGTTGTGTTTTTATAGATTGTTTTACTTTTCTATAAGTAAGAGAAAGGAAGGGCGCACCTGCTCTTCACAAGATTGGTGTGTTGTAGAATAGGTTTTCTGTGGAGAGTAATTGGTTCATAGACTTCTTGGAGGAGTTTTTCAAGCTTTTCTTAAATTGTGAGATACCACTGCAATGCACTTCATTTTTGAAGTAATTCTAGAGGAACTTCATACTTTGTTACCCTATTTGTGAAATGTTGACACATTATAAATTAGATTTCCTTAAGAAGAAATCTGACATGTTTTGCATATGTAACGGGCTTGTCTTAGAGGGGTTACTTTCCTGGTAGGTAGGTAGGCATTATGGCAGTTATCCTCTATTTTGTTTTCTAAAATAAAGGACCGAAAAATGTTTGGTGTTGCCAGGGCTAGCACAAACCATTTTAAAAGTTGTAACCAAAAAAAAAAAAAAAAAAAAAAAAAAAAGAAAAAAAAGAAAGGAAAGAAAAGAAGGAAAAGAAGCCACAAAAAGTGAGTGAAAAGAAACTAGAATGTAGACAAAAAAGGAAAGAAAGAAAGGAAAGGAAAGGAAAGGAAAAGAAGGAAGGGAAGAAGGGAAGAAGGGAGGAAGGGGAAGGGAAAAGAAAAGAAAAGAAAGAAAGGAAACGTACTTTAAAGTAATTTATGACAACTTTAGGAAAACTGGCCTATTTATAAGTATTTCAGCCTATCATTCATTTTTTTTTATTCAACAGATATTTATTGAATACTTCAATATACCATGGACTATGTCTTGCTAATAACAATGAAAATATTTGATTTCATATAATATAATTTCTGAAATATTTAAATAATTAAGATAGTTTCACTTTTTGTATATAAGGGACTTTTAAAAGTCATTTTTAAACTTTCAATCGCATTTTCAATTTTTTGTTCCTCTTTAAGCAATGTTACTGAAAACCAGCAGTGTACTTAAGAAAAAGTGTTGGGAAAAAATTTCTCTATTTTATTTTGCTTTTAGTTTTTTGGACTAACTACATGTATGTTAAATGAACTTTATTGTTTTATGTGTCATGTTAAGCCCAAAACACATAATTCTGTAGTAATTTAAAAATAAATAATTACCTAGATTTTTTTTCTCTCTTTAGAAAGATCATTGCCCCTCTTGTAACTCGTCATGGAAAGCTTTGGTCCAACTTCTGGGGAGCATTGAGTCCTGATGGATACTATGCTCGATCAGAAGATTATGTGGATATTGTTCAAGGGAATAGAATGTAAGTTACTTAATTTAATTTTTCAACATAAAATATCATGATCTAAAGATGTGGTCTTGTTAATATTACTTGAATTTTTTTACTATTATCTTTTTTCTTTATGTTTAATGAAAATTTGGAAACTTGAACACTTGGGATCCTGAAATACTAGTGCAAATTAGTATTTTATAAAACAAAGTTTTTAGTTTTAAATATTCAAAAGAACAAACTCACTGTTGTGGGAAATACTAAGAGACAATATATGGTTACTATAGGTAGCCCATCTTAGTTTGTTAGAAGAGTAATAATATTCTTTAGTTAAAAGTTTAGAAAGGGAATTAGCTTATATATTTAGTGGCCGGGATGAAAATTGTTTTGATAGCTTTTAAAACTTATAAATGAGCAAACAAAAGTAACACTAAGAATCAAAACCTTCTAAGATTTCCTATTTTAAGAGTTTCTTGTGTAAAATAACAAATATTCTGCTTTAAAGATAAGTTTCTTCACCAATATCTGATATTAATTTCTAGAGTTAGAAACAAACATACTTATTGCAAAGTGTGTGTATGATTGATATTTTTTAAACTAAAAAGTAATCACAGTTGAAATAATGTTTTTTATTAAGGAAATATTAGGGAAGAATGTCACTTTTTTTTCTTATGTAGACAATAGACCAGAGTGACTGAGATGTTAAGTGCTTTGCCTAATTTCTCAGACATCAGTCCAGTTAAAAAGAGAAAACATTCTTTTGTGACTAAAAACATGTGCCCTTAAATTTAGAAAAAAAATCATGTGCTTCTTGTTGAACAATTGAGCAGTAAAAAGATGTTTTGTTTGTGAAAATAGTAATAAGTGTGAAAATAGTAAGTCAGTATGAATGATCTAAATATGATAAAGACTTTTGTTGCAATTAAGAAGCATGATAGCTGAGAAAACCCTATTAAGATAGTATTCTGTAGTTTCAAAATGCTTATATTGTCTCTGAGATGATTTGTGTAGACTATATACCTGATATTATCTGTGGGTATAGCAGAAATAAGAGTTCACAGAAGTAGAATAGAGAATTCATGATTCATTTAAGTTGCTGTAGGCACTGGTGATTTTCTGTCCAATCTCTTGTCTAAAGTGTAAGGAAAATAATAAGGTAGAGGTTCTTGTTCTAGTTAATACAAGAATACAGTTCATGTACAAAATCTGCTTGAAGGAATGGCATCTTCTGACATACGTGTGTGTGTCTTTACCTTCAAAAGTGCAGCACTACGTACTCTGCCAGTGATTAATTTCTGCATTCAGGTGCTACACTGTATACTTTTTATGACCACTTGTTTTTAGTAAAACAAAATGATATATTCCTTTTAATATCTAACTACATTGCCTTTGTTAAGATCTTCCCTTTCTGTTCTCTAAAAGCAACAGGCATATTTCTTCAGGTGAAACCTTATACTGTTCTTAAGAAGTGAGTCATGTTCAAAGTGAGGAGACAGATCCATGGGAACAAATGATGGATGAAATAATGTGCCTCCCAACACTCATGTTCTTTTGGCCATATTTTTCATATCTTCTTTTTAGTTATTTTTATTTTTACTTATTTTTATTTTTTTTTAGGCGAGGCAACCCTTGGTTGACCTCACAGATTGCAAAGACCTTGTCAGCTTACAATCCCTTATTTTTTATTTTTTATTTTTTATGCCTACAGCACCTGGTCTTCCTAGGTGGTCTCCCATCCAAGTACTAACCAGGTCCGACCCTGCTTAGCTTCTGAGATCAGAAGGGATTTGGCTTGTTCAGAGTGGCATGACTGTAGACCATATCTTGCTTTTAATACAATAATTTTAGATGGCTTAATGAATATCGAGAAAATATATTTTAGGAGAATTTTAGGCTATATTCAGTGGTATGCTGATAAATGTATAACAACAGGTTCTTGGGATCGGAGGTGCCCTGATTTGTTGTGTTTGCCAATTTTTGTGGTGTAAATACTTCTGCCATGGCTGATTTCAAGCTTCTAATGTGAAATCAGTAAGTGTAGACTTGAGAAGTGAAGCTACAAGTCATCTCTGGGGAACAAGTGTAAGCTGGCTTTAGTAAACCACCAGTTGTATGTGATTATTTTTGCTATCAAACTGCTTAATCTTAAATGGAAACACCTTCTGTACAACAGAATATTATACTGTAACTGTAACAACTGAGAGATGACAGCCAAAATACCAGATATCAATAAAATTTATCTAGGAAGATAGTGATTTATCTCATAAAATGTAGTGGATACCAAATAGTGTCATCTATATATGTATTTCATATGTGTGTATGTATATGTATATATATATATGTACATATACACACACACATACATATGTCAAATATTAAATATGCTTGCATTTGCATGTAATTCGATTCAATAAATTATGTATACAAAATTTAAAAACTACAAGGCAGTTATTTTTAAAACATAAAAACAAAACTGTTTTGTATTTGTGTTATTTTGGAATGTGTTTTCTTTACTTTCAGAGGGATATGGAATGTCCCGTACATGGCTAATGTCTACTTAATTAAAGGAAAGACGCTCCGATCAGAGATGAATGAAAGGAACTATTTTGTTCGAGATAAACTGGATCCTGATATGGCTCTTTGCCGAAATGCTAGAGAAATGGTAGGGTATAAAATGATGGCTTGCTTGATGTTCTTATAAGATGGCTTGCTTTTCCAGTTGATGTGTCATTGTCTTTTGATGCTCTTTTTCTTTCTAATTGTAAAGACTTGCCATTTTTTTTGATTCTCTGTTGAAAAATTGGAAACAGTTATGAAGAATAATTTGTGAATAATTACCTATAGAAACATTTGAAAAGTGTTAGGTTGGTTCTTAGACTTACTCATAAGCAACAGTGAGATTTCAATAATAAACGTGAATTTATTAGAAGTCAGCTTTTCTTTTTTAAGAATTAGTCTTCTATTTGAAATTCTGTAGTAAAAATTTGCACTAATTAAAATTAATTTGGTAAACCCTGGATGAAATGACTGTACATTTAAGAACACACTTTTGTTCTTAAAATCAATGTCCATGCTTTCTTTGTCATTATTAACTCCATACTTTTAAAAAGCAGGTTCTTTACCACTAAATTAAGAGAAGGAATGAGATCAGTAGTATGTTTAATCTATGTAGAAAATTAATGATACATTGCTATTCTACAAATATACTCTTATTACAAAACTTAAATGACTGTAGAAAATAATTTATTTTTTCAAAATGTATAAATATGTATTAAAACATATTGATATGTTTTTCTGTTTTATAAAGGATTGGATTATCTTATTCCAATTTATGTAAGCAAATGTGATTTTGGGAAAAATCAGAAAAGTTGGCAAGTGTTTTTTTTATTAGTTTATTAAGGCATGTGTTTGAGTATGTTTGTTTTTTCTATAAACCTATGTGCATTGTTATGTCGAATATCCTCAAAACCTGTATTGTAATTTGTGCTCATGTTTGACTAATTTGACTCAACAGCACATCCTGGAATGGCCTCTCTTACACACGTTTTCTCTTTTGCCTTAATTTTGTTTCTAATGAAAGTTCTACTAAGGAATGAGCTTGGATTTATGTTTGACCGGAAAAAAAAAAAAAAAAACAGAAGCGGCTGGAGTTATCTTTGTGTGCGCTATAAGCTTTGCTTGTTCTGCATGTTGTCTGTGAAGGACATTTCAGAATGTCAGCTTTTTATCAGAGGCTGCTATTTTTATTTACCTAAGAATACCTGAGAGAGTGGGTGTGCAGGTCAACTTACCCAATGCTTCTCTTCATTTTAGACATTACAAAGGGAAAAAGACTCCCCTACTCCGGAAACATTCCAAATGCTCAGCCCCCCAAAGGTGTTCTTTTTATTTATTTTTATTTATTTTTATTTATTTGATTAATGCTAGTATGGTATATTGCCTAGCAGTAATATTTCTTTGAGTCTTTTTTCCATTTAGCTTGGTAAATTGTTGGTATTTATTGGTTTTGATTCTGCATATATATGTGTAAATTTTGTGTATTGGGGATTGGGTATTGTGTGATAGTCAAACTTAGTTCTTTGGGATGATTTATACTTTATGATTGGTAGACGAGAAAGTAAAACCCAAGTTCCTTTACTAGTTTTTCTTGTTTTAAGGAAGAGAGGTAGGAGTAAGTATAAAGTACATCTTGATAAAAATGAGGTTTGGGCATTCTTCATTAATTTTTTTTATTATTAATAACTAATCCTTTTACTATTAAAACAGGTACAAAAAGAAACAACCTTACCTTAGTAATGTTTGCCACATTTTTTTGGTTTGGAACAAGGATGTGAGACTGATTTTCTTTAGCTGCCTTGTAATGCATGAATAATTTCTGTGTTCTGTTTTTAAACATTAGGGCAATAAGAATAAAATAGGCCGATGAAGTAATATTGACATTTGAATTCTTGTTTAAAAATGTGATGTGTTCTTTGAAAGGAAAAGAAGCCAAAAGAGGTACAATTAATTGCACTTTGGTGTCTCAAAAATATTTCTGCTTTCAAACAGGATTTTTTTCCCTGATGTCTACTTCTAGGATCAATGAGAAAGGGATAAAAAAAAGTCCATTCTTCCTCTTCTCTTTTTTCAGTTGAGTGTCAGTGCTATCAGTTTTGTGTGGTGTCAGTTCAAAATTAATCAAAATTGTATTTCATTTTCAATCATGCATGTTTTATATGAAAAATAAAAATGCATGTTCATGAATGAAAATATAAAAGTTGAAATTAATATTTCATATATTTTTCCTGCTTATATATATATTTTCTTGTACTTCAAGGTTGTTAATACTATTTTTTTTTTGGCGTATAGGGTGTATTTATGTACATTTCTAATAGACATGAATTTGGAAGACTATTATCAACTGCTAATTACAATACTTCCCATTATAACAATGACCTCTGGCAGATTTTTGAAAATCCTGTGGTATGTATTTCATACTCAATATATTACTTATTTTCCTATAACTCTAAATAAATTGGGTTAATAATATGAAAATGTAAAAGGCTTTAAAATATTTTTTATATTATATCATTTTAAAAAAGATAATTTTATATCATGTCTATAAAGTAGATCTAAATTTGACTAAGAACTCTTTTTTTTTATTAAGACATATATTAGGTTTGGGGAAGGGAATTATCAGTTTCTTTTATTTCTCCCAGAATTTTAACTTATATATTCAAAAGCATCATCAAATTTTTAATCACAATTTCAGAAAAAATGTTTACAAGTAATTCACATATGACAATATTATATTTTGAATTTCAAGAAGAAAATTCAAGAAGTCAGTTTGGCAAAATACATTGATTTTATCATTTTGTATATTTTTCATAACAATTTTGTTAATGTATACCAGAGATAGCTAGACAAAATTGCAGAGTAAGTGGATTCAGCATATGAAGAAAGTCTTAGTTGAGGAAACTATTTTAAAAGTCTAAAATTATTCCTTTTTAAAAAAATTTGAATCATACAGGAATTAACTGCTTTTTTATATTACTAGTCAAGTGGTACATTTATTCAAAGGAAAATACTCTCTTGAATAATCATCTCTGTAATACTACCATTTAAAGTTTTGCCCTTGCCAATAGTAAAAGTTTTAAATTACAAAGACTCAATCCACCTGGTCAGAATTCTTTTATTTTGTAGGAGTAGTTGATATCTGGGAATAATAAATTTAATGATTTCTGAATACTCTGTTGAATAGAAAAAGATTATCTTATATCTTTTGACATTTTTGTATTTTAAAAGTACCTTTGGTCCATTTTAGCTGTATTCTTCATCTTTCACAGGAGTAGAATTGAAAAGAGGCTTTTTTAAATGGTAAGGGTGGAATTACATGTTTTACTTTAGTGCTGAATCTCTTGGTATTTTGGATAGAATTTAATTTCTTAGGTAATATTAGCTTCCTGAAAAATTCCAAATTATATCCTGAATTGTAGATGTTTGTGTAAGAATTCAAGTCTTTGGAGAGTTTGCAATGAAAATATCAGAAGTAAGTTGGAACTGCTTTTCTTTCCATGGCTTTGCTTTGTTTTTTTTTGGAAATTAGCCTTATCTATATGCATTATGAGGGGTATCCCACAGAGGAATATTTAATAGTCCCGTTATCAGAACTTCTAAGAAATTAAATGAATGAGGTTACAGTTTATTCAGTGATGCTTGAAACGTGGTCTAAAATGCAAAATATTAATGAACTAATGTAAAATCTTAGGGGCTTTTTTCTTTTAACCAGTAATGATGCATAGGAAAAAATACTTAGAGATTCTGAAATGTTATGAATGATTATTTACTTCTAATTTTTCCCCATATTTTGGAATCAGAAAACTAATAAGTATTAGAGGGAATAATGAGATAATACAGTAATTTAACCCTTATAATTATATGCTACGTATTATTTATTAAAAAAAAATAAGATAGCTTTTGTTCTCTATATCAGAAATATCTGAGCTCCATATAAGCAGAGATATGCAAAACTAAGAATGGCATAAAGTTATCAGGGTCCCTCTGAAATCTGTCCTCAAAAGATGTATTTCAGACAAATATTTTTTGAAACATATTTTGATTGAAATTATTTTGAATCTATCTGTACCTCAGTTCTTCCTTGCTAGCTCCCTATATTTGTATTTGTAAAGAGAAATTTAAGAATTTTGTTAAACAATCTAAATACATTTAAGAAGAGATATTTTTAGATACTAAATCATTCCATATTTTAATGTATACCCTCTAAATATTGAAATTTTAAATAAAACATTCTACCCAGGAAAAAAATTCCTTAGCCAATGTTGACAAAAATTGAGGTATCTTAGTGTGTGGTTTATGTGTCAGAGATTGGTCAAAGAGAAGAATCAGGTTCATTAATTAGCATAAAGAGGATCTATTTTTTTAAAATATGTAATCCCATATCTTAATTTTAGTAAATAAAAGAAGTGTATTAGTAACCGTATGATCATTCTTTGATAAATATTAAAAACTGAAGTGAAGCCAGAAATTTTAAATACATTTTTAAAATCAAAGTTATTTTAGAGTAATTCTCTTTATTATAAATAAGACCCAAGTTTAATTTATTTGCTAATTAGTATTTACTAATATTTGTTAATAGGATTTTGTTATTCAGTTTTAAGTACATATTTATCTATTATGTGTATATGTGTAAGATACCGTATACAATCTAATTATAAGATTACTCAAAATTTTAAATCCTGTGGCATAAAACTTCATAAATGAAAGTTTTTTGTCTCAAAGATAAGAGCATACGCAATGAGGCAAAGATTAAAAAACATAAACTGTGGTTTCTGAGAATTCTTATTTTGTCCATGACACATGATCATTTATAAGTTGTTTGAGCAATTTCTAAAATGCATATGCTTTTATTTTTGTATTAAAATACTTGTACAAACGTATTTGCTTTAATCTATACAATTGATTTTTTTTTTTGGTAGGACTGGAAGGAAAAGTATATAAACCGCGATTATTCAAAGATTTTCACTGAAAATATAGTTGAACAGGTTTGTATTAATAATTACTATGATAGATCATTTTTGCTGTAGTTTCCATAAGGGAATATTACTATGATACTGCTTTAGCAGAGGATGTTGTAAAAGTGGAGAAACTATCCTTTAGGTAAAATTCATATGGCTTAACCAGTTTTATAGCCTTAAGGGTCATATAGTTGTAAAAATGTAGAACATAGAGATTAACAATAATTTTAAGATCATAGCTTTCTTAAACCACTAAAAATAAGGAACCATTGGCAGATCTCTGATGTAGGTCTCTTTCAATGAAAGTTTACCTGAAAGAACTTGGCCTTCAAGAATCTTTTCTCAGGTCTTTTAAAAAATGAACTCTATTTTAGATTGGTATTCCAAACTATTGCTAATACCTTATTTTCAGAGAATGTAAAACATCTTCAATTCTGAGATATCCCATTATTTTGTGTACTGTAAGAAAAAAAATACTGCCAATTAAACTTTGACTAGTGTTTTCTAGTCATTTAGAATTTTTTTATTTTATCATATTGAAAGACTTATTTTAGACTTATTAAGGCATAGATATATGTTCTGATGGACTCATTTCTATGTCAAATCAGTGTAAATAATTTTAAACGACATTTCAAGAGCAAGTCAGTTCAGGAAGTGCAACAGCAACTAAATGCATGCGTGCATATGCATACACAGACACAGACAGACAGACACACACACATGTATACACACACACGGTGAGGACAGAATGAAAGTTTAATCAAATGCATATACATGCGCTATGGCATTACAGCTACATCACAATGGCTGCTTGGCTGACCATGACTTTAAGACTTGTATTGATTTCATTGATGTTAAAATGTAATAAAAAAATTAAAAAATAACGTCTTAGAAAGTGTTAAAAAAACAAAACCAGAAAAGTAGTATTGTTTATAATAGTAATGTCAATGATGTTGGAAAACTTCTTAAAAAGGACATCTAAGTGAGATGAATATTGATTATTCTGTCCTATTACTTCCGAAATGCTGGTTTTTAGTTAAAAGACATAAAATGTTATCCTCTTAATGTTAATGCCATATTTTATAGCCTTGTCCAGATGTCTTTTGGTTTCCCATATTTTCTGAAAAAGCCTGTGATGAATTGGTGGAAGAAATGGAGCATTATGGCCAGTGGTCTGGAGGCAAACATCATGTAAGTTGTAATTTCACACAGAAAACTAAAATGAGGGGCGGGGGAGGGCGCAGGAGAACTTTGTTTTTAGTGTAATTCCACCACTAATTAGTGTTTAACATTGGATCTGTCTGGGCCTCAGCTTCTCATTTATGCATGTAATTACCTTGGATGGCAGTGTTCCCAGGCTGAAAATGATAAGGAATATATATGTCTTTATTGTGTGATGCTGCTCTTCTTCAAGGCCACTGTTTATTCTCTGCATTTTTACAGTGAGCTGTAGTCAAAATACTATGACAAAGTTTATCTGGAGTTGATTGTCAAAACTATTTTTTTGTATAAACATGAGGATTCTCTTTGAATAAGTGCCTTCAGTGTAATTTGGTTTTGCATTTACATTCAGTGTCAAAGACTTGGCAGGAAGTTTTACTATTGGTGGTTCAATGTGTTTCTTTTCCTCTGAGAACCTACAGATGCCAGCTCCTTAACAATACCAAGAAATTTAAGTGGAATACTCTGGAATATTACTATTTCTGCTTAATTATATACTCAGCTAGTTAGCTGATCAGGGAGACAAGTTGAAAGTGTGATGAAGTACTTGAAGTCAGCAGATTGCAGGCAGTATAATGAAAATCTACTGTGGGAGGACCTTTCGGTGCCACAGAGTAGAAGTGAGGAACAGAGCAGGCAAAGCTGTTTCAGTGGTAGATAATCCAGAGGGCTGATAAGCACAATCTATGCCTATCAACAGCTAAGACTGCCTAAAGAGTCACTATAAAAAAATTCATGTTTTTAGGGGGCTTGGGAGGGCTTTGGAAATCAATCTTATTTACTTTATAGTTAGACCTCACATATAAATTTGTAAAAAATGATATCAATGGAGTCACTTTAAAATGGAATTGTAGCTGCCATCCCAGAGAAACTGCCTTGCACACCTCACTTCTCAGATCATTAGACTGTTAAAACAAGACAAAATAACCTTTGGACTGGACCTAACAGCAGCCTTATATACCAGACAACTGTGTGTGAAGATAACAAGAAAGCAGATATTATAACTACCTGGACTGAAAATTTACCAATATTTAGAATTAGCATCACTGTTTTAGGTTATCTGCAGCTATAAAATTCTTTCCTTCTATTGATGTAATTGTTCCCCTTCCCTTTCTTATAAATAAATACCCCTTGTATTTGCCTCCTAATCTGAACACAATTTGCATTTCTGCCTGAATCAGTCCTTTCCTAATAGCTATTCTTTTGGATCCCAAATAAACACTTGTTGCCTCTTTCTTTGGCCTTTTGTTTTTAGGTTAACATTAAATAAGTAGGAAAGGAGTAGCCAACTCTGCAATACTTCACTTCATCATGATATATTTGCAAAGCCATGTTACCTCAGTTATTTTATAGTTTTTCAATTAAAACAGATAGTACACCATAAACAACTATTATTTTTTTGTCTATTGTAATCTTGTGATTGAAAAAAAAATCTAAGATCATATAAATGTGAATTGCACGTGGACTACAATTTATGATGTCATTAATGTTGTTTCTAGGATAGCCGTATTTCTGGTGGTTATGAAAATGTCCCAACTGATGATATCCACATGAAACAAATTGATCTGGAGAATGTATGGCTTCATTTTATCCGGGAGTTTATTGCACCTGTTACACTGAAGGTCTTTGCAGGCTATTATACAAAGGTAGTTATCCTCCTGTACCTCCTGCATACTTCCTCCCAATTTTTACACAAATATGCTGTTTATGTTTTTACTGATAAGAAAAACCATTGGTTTACTTTGCATTTTTAGGGGTTTGCATTACTGAATTTTGTGGTAAAATACTCCCCTGATAGACAGCGTTCTCTTCGCCCTCATCACGATGCTTCTACATTTACCATCAACATTGCACTCAATAGTGTGGGAGAAGATTTTCAGGTAATTATGGGTTTTATTTTTTACATTTTAAAAAAGCAATATGTCATTATAGACTTTTACCCTATATTTTTTTAAGATTCTGCTTACATGACATAATTTGAATTTTGCCAGTAATAAAAAAGTTAAACAAAATGGACTGATACATTTATTTGTTACATCTCTTTTAGGGAGGTGGATGCAAATTCCTAAGGTACAATTGCTCTATTGAATCACCAAGAAAAGGCTGGAGCTTCATGCATCCAGGGAGACTCACACATTTGCATGAAGGACTTCCTGTTAAAAATGGAACACGATACATTGCAGTGTCATTTATAGATCCCTAAGTTATTTACTTTTCATTGAATTGACATTTCTTTGGAATGGATGACTGGTATGAACATATTTTTGAAGTTGTGCTTGAGAAGATGAGAGGAATATTTAAATATTCCACAGAACAACCTAACTTTGGGCCAAACATTTGAAAAACTTTATAAAAAATTGTTTGATATTTCCTAATGTCTGCTCTGAGCCTTAAAACACAGATTGAAGAAGAAAGGAAAAAAGTAAACACAAATATTTATTTCTGTGCCTTATTGTCTTTGAGAATAATGAGAATTTTCTGAATTTGTGTTTCAGTTGATAAAATATTCAGGTACAAATGTACAAGCAACAAATGAGACTGGTAATATTTTATTTAACAAAAGCCTAAGAAGAATTTTATTTATCAACATATAGATGAAGTGAATATAAATGAAAATTGGCAATTTTTAAAATGTCTAAAAACTGGAATTCTAACTGAATTTGTGTGCAACTTATTGTGTAAGTACTTTTTGACCACCTATGCAAGTATGTTTTAAAGTATAGTTCCTGAAGGAATACCAAGAACAATATTACAGTTTTTTTCCTTGAGAAAATTAGTATAAAATGCAATTAGGTGCATACCCAGTTGAAAACATTTTTGTTTAGATTGTTAGACAGACTTTTTTTTACATTTGTATTAGAAATCAAGCCCTGTGTTCCTTCAGATAAATTTTCCAAGGTAGATTATAGTAAATAGATACTAGATTTAGAAAAGCTTTCAAGCCTTTCCATTTCTTATTGACTTAAGATCACCAAGTGACCTTAAGTCAAAAAGGTTGTCGTTCTTTTAATTCTAGAAAATAATGAGGAAATTTTTTTCTTTGAGATTAGTAGTAGCATTTTGATTTTAAAAAATTAAGTACTTGAATTTTATATCAGGAAAATAAAGTTGGTGAGCCTTTCTTCCTTTTTGCCCTTTGTCTCCCTCTTTATGTTCTTTTTTGTGAAGGTTATCCTCTTTTTTGTCTTCCCAGCGTAGTCTCCATTTTATCCTTCTTACTCTTTTTATTACCTTCTCTTTATCACACTTTAGAATAATTTCCTAGCACAAAAAAATTTGTGACTTGATTTTTCACCATTTCTCTGAGTGAGGTTTAAATATCCTTATTGTAGCTACTGTTTTTAATTTAAAGGTTAAACTTGAAAAAAAAGTTCTAAGTCATGGTGCCAAAATTTATTTTTCTAACACTGTGTGTTAGAAAATTATGAAAAATAAAATAATTTAAAATAAGTTTCTGTTGTTTTATTTATTATTGGTGATTTGTCTTTAAAAGAGGATTATGATGGAGTAGCCTGAAAGAATATCTGGATATACTAGACAGTGATTTTTTTCTTGGTATATTTACTGATATAACAATGAAAACTCTATTTATCAAATTATAAATTGAATTGTAATATCTTCAGTATGAAAGTGACCAGGGATTTGATCTAACTTATTTTATAAGTGAGAAATTAGATACCAAAATATATTAATTAATTAATCATGATTATATTCAATATATATTTGTTTATTTGCTAGTGTTTTTCAAGTTCCTGTTTTGGCCCAGGCACTGTTCTAGGCACTGAGGATATGGTGATGAACAAGTTGTTATAATTACTGGGAGATGGACTTAGGAAATAAGGAAGCTGAGTTCTACCTCTTTTCTCTTCTTTGGTGGTATTTAATACACAAGTCAAATTTCTACTCTTCGTCATCTTGGAGACATTTTCGTAAGAATTTGTGATTTATATTACTATACTTTAGGGATGGTATTCCAAATGCATAAAAACTGGTATGACTTGGATGCCAACTAATCAGAGCTGATTCTAGTTTAAAAAAACAGTTCTACCAGTGCAAAGTCAGCTTAATGTCCTTTGTGGTATATACTTTGGAGAAAAGACATCTACCAGATCCTAGTTCTTTTCAGTTGTAGTATACATGGATGGTGACCTATAATAACTATTTTAATCTCATGCCACCATGTTTCCAGAAATTGGATCAAGGTAGTCAACTGAGCACATTTTCTGACTTCCCACTCATCCCAGATTTCATGGAATGATATATTTACTTTTTAACAGGACAATTCATAACTAGTGAGGGAAAGTGAGAAATTCCCACAAGTAGATCAGAAAATTTGAGAGGGAAGACAGGCAGGGTTGGATGGATGGAGAAAGCTGCAGCTTAAAACACAGTCAGCTTTGGCAACCACCAATAAATCTGTTCTGTTTCCGTGAGTCAGTTCTTTTAGATTCTACATATAAATGAGATCATATAGTAATTTTCTTTCTCTTCATGGCTGATTTCACTTGGCATAACTCCCTCAAGGCTCAAATGGCAGTATTTTCTTTTTTATAGTTAAATAATATTTTTATGCACACACATTCTTAACACAATTAGGTTGTTTCCATGTCTTGGTTATTGTAAATAACGCTGTAATTAATATAGGGGTACAGATACCTTTTAGAGATAGTGATTTTGTTTTCTTCAGATATATACCCAGAAGTAGAATTGCTAGATCATCACATCATCGCTATTTTTAATTTTTTGAGGAAGTAAAATCTTTATCTATGGAAATATATTCGTGTATTTGTTTAACTTAAACAATAAAGTTAAAGAAAGGGAAGAATTCCCATAACTAATTTAATTTGATTAAAGTATGTTAATGTCAATATTAACACATGTTTGCATGGGTACATGCATGTGTGCTTCTGTGTGTATGTATATTACCAAAAGCTTTAAATGCTTATCATGGTGGCATTTTTTTTCCCTAAGTCTTAGTGTGCACAGGAATTAACGTGAATATTTTCCCCTAATATGGATACTTTGGTAGTAGTCTAGTATATTAGTTTTCTCCATTCTGCTTCATTTTGAAACACATAATTGGTACCTTACCTAAGAGATTAAATACCCCTCCACAGAATAAAAATATGGAAAACAGTTAACATATGAATTAAGTTATCTGTCTTAATGACAATCTTTTTATATATTTCTTCACTCTTATTTTCCTGTCTGTCATTTGTACTTAATTTTCCTGCTTGCTAAGCCATAAAGCTCATCTTGTATGACATTTTGGGGACCTGACATTCATTCGGACTGTGGAGTCTATTCAACAGATCTTTTCAAGTTGTAGGAAAGCCAAGTAAATTTTTTAATCACAGTTGAGAGTTAGTTTCAGTAAATACTCCTCTTTGACTAGATGTTGACTATTTTGGAAAAATAAAGTCTTTAAGACTTTATGAAAGCAGCCTTTGTCAAACAGGACTGTTTACCTGTGGTCATTTAGAATAGTACAACTTCTTTAGAATAATAGACTTCTAGAATAACTCTTTGTTAAGAGAAAGCCACTGAGGGGCAGAGGAGGGAAATATATAAAGCTCTATAATGAATGCAATAAATTTCATATTAAATTTGAAGAGAAATACACTAAAAAATAACTATGAAAAGAATAGAAAACTGTACATGTAGACATCCTTTAAAAATGTGAAGTACTGTGTACCTAAATTCTAATAAAAGCAATGAGAAAAATTGAAAGATGAATATACATTCTAGGGATTTGTGGACTTTATAAATCTTAAATCTTCTGGGCAGTTTTTTTTTTTTTAATTTTAAAGATTAACTATGTTTTTTCTTAAGATAGTAAAATAGATTAGAAAATATTTATTTGGAAAATAGGTTCTTTGCTGATTTTTGAGAGTTTATTTTAATTTTTATTTATTTCATTTTTTTATGGTGACATTGGTTAATGAAATACACTAAGTATCAAGCATACAATTCAACAGTAAGGCATATAGGTATTGCATTGTTGTTCACCACCCATAGTTAGATTTCTTTCTGTCACCACATATTTGACCCCCTTTACTGTGTCTACCTTCCTCTTCCTCCATGAGTCTCTGTTTCTTTGTCCATTTATTGCTTTTAGGTTTATATCCCACATATAAGTGATATCATTTCTGTCTGGCTTATTTCGCTTAGCATGATTATATTGAGGTCCATTCATGTTGTCGCAAATGGCAATATGTCATCTCTTCTTATGTCTGAGTAATATTCCATTATATATATGTACCATAGCTTCTTTATCCAATCTATTGTAGGACACTTCAGATGCTTCCATATCCTGGCCACTGTGAATAATGCTGTTATGAACATCAATATGCAAATATCTTTTTAGATATATGTTTTCGAATCTTTGGGGGTAAATACCTAGTAGAGGGATTGCTGTATCAAATGGTAGATCAATTCTTAGTTTTTTGAGGAACCTCAATACTGTCGTAGCTATACCAACATGCACGTCCCACCAGCAGTGTATGAGGGTTCCTTTTTCTCTGTATCCTCTACAGCATTTGTAATTACTTGTCCTGTTGATTACAGCTATTCTAACAAATGTGAGATGTTATCTTATTGTGGTTTTGATTTGCATTTCCCTAATAGCTAGCAATGTTAAGCATCCTTTCATATATTTCTTGGCCATTTGTATGTCCTCTAGGGAGAAGTGTCTGTTCAGGTCTTCTGCCCATTTTTTTATTGGATCATTTGTTTTTTTATTGTTACTGAGTTGTATGAGTACTTTGTATATTTTGAATATAAGACCCTTATCGGAGGTGATGCTTGCAAATATATTTTCCCATTCAGATGGTTGTCTACCTTTTTGATGGTTTCTTTTGCTGAGCAGAAGTTTTTTAATTTGATGTAGTCCCATTAATTTATTTTTGCTTTTACTTCCCTTACCTTCGAGGTCAAATTCATAAACTCAAAGTCCAAGGTCCATGAGTTTAGTTCTGTTTTTTCCTATGTGTTTTATTGTTTCAGGTCTTATATTCAGGTCCTTTATCCATTTTGAGTTAATTTTGGTGTGTGGCGATAGACTATAGTCTAGTTTCATTCTTTTGTAGGTGGCTTTCTAGTTTTCCCAGCACCATTTATTGATGAGGCTTTCCTTTCCCCATGGTATGTTTCTGATTTTTTTGTCAAAAATTATTTACCCATATAAAACAGGGGTCTGTTTCTGGACTCTTGAATCTGTTCCACTGGTCTGTTTTTCTGCCAATACCATGCCATTTTGATTATTGTTCTTTGTAGTATAATTTGAAGTTGGGCACAACGATGCCTCCAGCCTCATTCATTTAATTCAGAATGGCTTTGGCAATTTGAGGTCTTTTGTGCTTCCATACAAATCTGATGATTTTTTGTTCTATTTCTTTAAAAACTGCCTATGGGATTTTGATGAAGATTGCATTAAATCTGTATAGTACTTTAGGTAATAAGGTCATTTTAACCATATTGATTCTTCCAGTCCAAGAACACGGAATATCTTTTCATTTCCTTGTATCTTCTTTGATTTCTTTTAATAAGGGCTTGTAGTTTTCATTATATAGGCCATTCACATGTTTTGTTAAATTTATTCCTAGGTATTCCTTTTGTTGTAATTGCAATAGGAATTACATTTTTCTTCTTTTTCTGATACTTCATTATTAGAGTATAGGAATGCTATGGATTTTTGAATGTTAATTTTGTATCCAGAAACTTTACTGTATTTGCTTATTGTTTCTAGTAATGTTCTTGTGGAGTCTTTAGGGTTTTTTACGTAGAGAATCATGTCATCCGTATTGTTTAAGATTATAATGCCCTGTTCTTAATAAGGGTTGCACTCCTCTGCTATCTGCCTGCTAGTCGCCTTACTACTAATTAAAATTCCTGTAATTGATATGAATTATTTTGGAGCTCATTGAGTTTTTTCAGAAGTAGCATCCTGAATTCTCTGTCATTTAAGTCATGTATTTCTATGTTTTTAAGCTTATTTTCTGGAGATTTTTCTCTTTCTTTCTGAAATACCTTGTCACCTTGGTTGTTCATGGTGTTAATGGACTGTTTCTCCTACTGGGCATTAATGAAGTAAATCTGCTCCTCCCCCTCCCCCCCAGAAAGAAGATTTATTATATAAAGGTCACTCTTTCACCTGTTGCTAAGAAGGCATTTTTTTTTGTTGGTTTCCAGTAGTTGGCGTCTAATCCTCTTGGATCCTAGCTTTATATAAAGCCTTAAAATGCCTTTTTTTCTCTTATAAATATTCAATCACACTAACTACCCTCAGCCTCAGTCCCTGTCAGTGTTAACGACAGTTTTGGTAGCATTTTGCTCAGATTCTCCTTGGGCTCTGCAGTGTTTGGCCTTGGGGGATATGGGAGCAGGTGCCCTTTGGGTTAGAGGAAGGGGATTGTGGCTCAGCCTCACATTTTGCAAAGTGGCT